ATCTACCTGCAGACCACATAGGAAGAGAGGCAGGAATAGCCTTCGTATACGGAATACGAGATGCCGATATAAAGTTCCAGCTGCTGCTAGGAGGTGAGAAGAAGGTAAACGAGGCCCTCCGACGAGCGCTAGAGCTGCAAGCGGTACTGATAACAGCTAGACCTCACGAAGGTAGCACCAAGACATACCGGAAGTACCGATCGTCCGCCACCCAACGAGGAGACGGAAGATAATCATGGTGCTGGAGTTGTGGAAAACTGGGCCACTTCGTGAATAACTGCCCCTACGAACAGGAAGGGTACCCAACCGTCGGGAAACGAGCGACGGCCGGCAAAGGAGGGCGAACGCCGGCATATGCATTAAGGCTCCCACACTACGCACTCACCGTCGAAAGGGTGAATACCAACCACAATGAGATGACGGCCTGCCAAGAGATAGAGGCACGTCTACAAGAAGGAAAGCCGGCCTCAGTGGACACGAGACCTGCGGCGGCACAACAAGAGGAGGTCCACATAGTGATACCGGTCGGAGTGACGATGGCCTGCCGAGAAGCAGAGGAACGTCCAGAAGGAGAAAAGCCGGCCTCAGCGAACAGGAAACCTGAGGCGGCAGGATTACGAGAGGTACCCACACAAGACGCCGAAGTAATGCCGGTCGCAGAACCGAAGAAGAAAAGGCGTAGGGACCAAAAGAAGCGGAATATGAAGAATTCGACGCGGGAAAAGAGTGGACCCTAGAAGTTGGCTGCCCCCTGCAGGAAGACATCCCGTCGCGCGACAGTGGCACGACGTTGGAGAAATGCCTTCAAGAAGGAAACTCGCCAGGGAACCTTCGGATGCCGGACAGAGGACTTGGCGCCACGGTATCATGCCAGCAAGTGGCGGGAAGACCAGGAGGAACGACGACGTCATTCACTGCAAACAACGCATCAAGGGCTGTTACGTCGACATAAGGAACTTCTCATGGAAGACATAAATAAAGACTGGACACTGTGGAAGTGTCGACAGCCTCCAAAACGGAAAAGAAGATTTCAAGCAGAGGAGGAACCGGTAATGTAGAAGAACCGGCCTCCCCAGAGAGAATGAAAGTGATGGATGAATGGGATACAGCTGGATCTTCTGGCGAGCTGAAAGGAAACCGCTCGAGACGAGCAGGTCTTAAGAGGGGAGCGGTTGTAACAGCCGGAGAACAATCGCTGCAAGGAGTAGCCCAAATACCAGGAGACGCAAAAAGAACAGCCTCCAAAGAAAAGGAACGGGATGCACCGTTAGGCTATTCGGGACGAACAGCCTTAAGGAGGGAGCAGTGTGACATGTTGACCCCTACCTCCCCAGCGGCACGTAGCGGTAACGTAGCGCTCGCGTAAGAGGCGCGTCATCACCCCGCCACTCTCCCCGCGGTGACGTCACGAGCGGAGCCGAAGTGAGCCGAGCGGAGCCGAAGTTAGCAGAGTCCCCGCATCCTGGTAGTTATGCAACGCGCAACGCGCGGTGACGCGGAACCGCTTCCTACTGTGACGTGGCACGCAACAGGCACCACTGCGGCTATACAAGGGAACTGCACAGCAGCTACGAGTCAGTTGTAATGTGGCTACCGCAGAGTTAAGTAGTAGACTAGCGAGTGTGTTATCAACAGTTCTCCAGTCAGCCGACTACAGTTGGAGTATAGCAGCCGTCGCGGAAAGAAGAACCGGACGTGTGTGTGATTGTGTAATTGGGAGTGTGTGATACAGTAAGTAATACATAGCTCCCCTACTGTAAACGTGTAGACTACTGAACACAGAGTGAGCTGATTTGCGCATAGGGTTATAAATCGTGAAACCCCGCAACAGTGTTAACAGATTAATGCGATTAGGGTTATAAAGTGTGAAACCCTGCAACGGTGTGATAAGTAATTGTAGCCGATACTTGTAGATTGTTCAATAAACCAATTAACGATTTTTACGGCGTATTCAGTAACGAAACATGTTACAATATTATCAATTTCATCTTCTGTTGAGGAATGAACATTCAGAACGATATCACACCAGCAACCTCTTAGTATTATGCATGACATCCTATCACTAATGAACTCCACCTTTATAACTGCTGATATGATTCTCTTATGTATGAAAAATTTATGATTTTCATTCCCCTTTCCATAGAAAAATGTTATTTGCCTGCTGAGTCAGTGCCACCTCTGCCCCATCTAAATCTAACATATATTTTCAGATTTCTTCCGCCACTGCCCCTGAGCGAACCTGCCCTATACATACATCTAACATTCCAAGTACCAAATTTCATATCCATTTTTTTTTCGCTTAGGTCGTTTATCAAAGGAATTTGTTCAGTACTAAGGCTTCTTGTGATCTCTTATAACAAGCTTGTTTTTTACGGTGAGTTGTTAGCCCCATGCCAACCCCGCCAGCTGGAGAACCACCCCTTGTCGGCTGCCCGACACTGTTTATTTAAAATATTTGCAGCTACCCTCCATACCTGGAGGGCGTCTCCTGCATCTGCAACCTGAGGAAGCGCCATGACATGGTGACATGGGACCCACCTAACATGGTCTACGGGGTCTGTCCAAAAAGAAACCGAACTTTCTTTTTAAAACATTTATCGATAAGCTTACAACTTAACAAGACTTGTCTCCTACAAAGTACTTCCATCCACTGTCTATACATTGCTTCCAACGTTTCTTTCCAGTTCTGAAACACATCCTGGAACGTGTTTTGCCAGATAGCATGTAGGTCTCTTACTGAATTTTCTTCTAGCTCTTCTATAATCTGAAAGTTGTGACCTTTCAGAGTGGATTTCAACTTTGGGAACAAAAAAGTCTACAGGGGCAAATATGGAGAGTATGGCGGTTGGGGGATGACAGTCGTCTCGTGCTTCGCCAGAAATTCATGGATGAGGAGCAACGTGTGAGCAGGTGCGTTGTTGTGGGGCAGCATCCAGGTCGTTTCTCCACCCCTCAGGCCTCTTCTTTCACTCTGCCTCCCTCAATCACTTCATGATCTCTAAGTAAAACTGTCCATTGACTGTCTGACCACGTGGAACAAACTCATGATGAACGACGCCCATCCCCCCACCCCAAAAAAAAAAGAGATCGACAACACCTTCACATCTGATCAACTCTGACATTCTTTTTTCTTTGTTTTTCCCACCCACTGCAACGATTGAGCTTTTGTTTCAATATCGTACCAGTACACACACGTTTCATCACCTGTTACATTTTTCTGAAAGTTTTCGTCGCCATTTGAATGATGAAATAGCCCGACTGATCGTGACACGGTTCGCTTTTTGCTCATCTGTCAAAAACATGGCACAAATGTTGCAACAACATGATGCATCTTCAGTTTTTCGGTCAAAATTGTGTGGCAAGAATTTTTACTGATGCCTACTTCTTCAGAAACTTCACTCACAGTTAGGCAGCGATTTTCGCGAATCACAGCACGCACTTTCTCAACATGATCATTGTCCGTTGATGTGAAAGGTGGTCTAGGTTTGGGATCGGGATCGTCTTCAGTGGATATTCTGCCTGATTTGAAATGTTAGTACCATTCATAACATTGTCTACGGCTCAAACAATCCTCTCCATAAGCTTGCTTCAACATCTGAAAAGTCTCTTTAAAAGTTTTTGCCAATTTGAAACAGAATTTCACGCAAACACGTTGCTCTTCAAGGCCATTCATGTTTCAATTTGCAAAAATCGCAAAAGGCACAAGAGACTGGTTCACTCTAGTGCACCTACTCAATGACTAATTGACGTGGCTGATGGGGCAGGTGTCAGGTTAAAGCTTAAGGTCACTGGCATGGCGGCCACACCTATTGTAGCCTGCCCCAAGTGATTATGACGATGGAAAATTTGGTGGAATGAAGATTGGCAGGGGAAACCGAAGTACTCAGAGAAAACCCGCCCCAAGGCCACTTTGTCCACCATGAATCCCACCTGACCACACCCAGGATCGAACCCAGGCCGCTGTGGTGGGAAGCCAGCGGCTAACCGCTTGAACTATGGCATGGCTATTGCTGTATGTATGTGGATGTACTTTTGAATAGTCTTATGTGTAACCACTATTTTCTTGGGTTTTCTTACGTGAAAATTTCAGCTGTATTTTACATATGGTTTTGTATTTGTATGACACATTCCACATCTTACAGACATTTTGACTAACACTGAATCCTGGGAATGCAATGTAATGAAAAAGAAAAAAAATGCAGTCACTCCAAATACTCTGTTCTTACCATATAAATGAAGGTAAAGTTGTCCCTGTGCTTAACTAATTAAGCACTATGCCATGAAGGTGTATGGGGTAGTGGATGCATAGATCCACATTTTCTTGACCTTGGCATTAGTTGGAGGTGAGTGGTAAGCTTCATGCCCCTGATGCTTAACCCCTGGGGAAAGATACCCCACCCCTGGTACCCATTGGACAGGTGGCTGGGTGGGCCCCAGAAGAGAAAATTCTTGACCCTACCAGGACTTCAACTCTGACCCTGCAGTCATCCAGCTAATTGCAAGTTGCTATACCGACTACGCTATCCTGGCTCCTGCTTACCATATAAATACAGGGAATGATTAAGGTGTCTCCTTTGATCAACATAAATGGTTTGAAATATACGTGAACTTTCTGAGATTAACATTTTTTAGAAAATTATATCTATATGTCTCCTGTTAAGTACCTGTAATTTATTGTTTCAGAAAATTTTGTTTCAATATATTTCTTTTCAGTATGTTCAAGACCTGTAACATCCCATATCAAAATTTTAAGACTTTATGCAATTTGTACTTGTTTACTCCACATTTCATTAGAATCTGGATCATAACCAAACTCACTACAGGTGGCATCTGTCACATAAATGTAAGGGTGGCATTCAAGGGTGCTTATGCTACTCTCAAGTTGTTTCAGCTCTTCCTCAAGCTTGATTTTATTCTTCTTCTTTGTTACTGTGTCTGTAAGAATAGGCAACAGTTGGTATGCTTTTTGTAGTTCTTCCCGGTTGTGTTTCAGGCCCTGAAAATATGACACATACTTTTCATTTACAGTATCAGTAATTATGCTATATTATGGCTTTGTTTTACAACTTATTTAATTGTATAATTGTTGGTCATGCCATAGATCAGGCTCTTAGTCACTGGCTTCCCACTGCAGTGGCACAGGTTCGAGCCTGGGTCAGGTCATGTGTGATTTGTGGTGGACAAAGTGGCACTGGGGTAGGTTTTCTCCAAGTACTTCGGCTCCCCCTGCTAATCTTCATGCCACCAGTTGCTCCACAATCACAATCATCTACCATCTAGTTTTGGTACAATAGGCCTGTAGTGTCCACAGTACCAAGTGGACTCAGTCACACCCCATTAAGAACAACAACAATAATAATAATAATAATAATAATAATAATAATAATAATAATAACAACAACAACAACAACAACAACAACAACAACAACAATAATAATAATAAGACTAACGTTACTGATAACGCTTCTTGTCTTATGTAAAAAGGTGAAGTTGTCCCTGTGCTCAAGTACCATCCCACGCAAGGCTCCATTCTTAAAACTGGCACCATATAGTTGTGTGTGGTCAGTTCCACAGACTGGTTGCTTTACTGTCAGGAAAAGAACCCCAGGTACATATTGATTAGGAGGCTGGATAGGTCACAGTAGCAAAGAGACCCTATCTGTACTGGAAATAGATTCCCAGTCATCCATCATGTAGTGAGTCACTTTACAATTGGTTAGTAATATGTTCTTAATATATGTAAGATACTTTTACTGTGGCATGACTTGGCAGGCTGAATGAACTCTGCCTGGCTTATACCTTAAAAGTTACTTTATCATATAAAATACATTTAAAACTAACTTAATCCTGTTATCACTATTATTCTTGTAGCCTGACCCACCAGACATGTTACAACATAGAAAAGAATAGTTACCACAATAATGTAAAACCAGTTTCTTCTAAGTTCACACTGCTTGTGAAATATCTGGTGATAAATGCCCTTCTTAACCAATTTACACCTTCTGCTATATCAGTCTTGAATCTGTTTGTGTTATACATATCCTTCTTCTCTGCATTAAAAATGGTAGAGAAACAAGTAATCACCTGAAGCAATGCCTTTCTTTCTCGCTCTGTGATATAACGTCCGTCAACTTTGAACTGCTTTTTTTCTGTTTCTTTTTCCTTCTCTGGTGCATCTGCTCGTAACTGACAATGGTGCAGGTAATTTGGATTTTTTCCAAAGGTCTGTAATGAATTAATAAACATTCTGAAATAATGATGTCAACTAGACTGCAGTACACACCAGGAATAGAAAAATGAGGGATTTCATTTTCAGGTATAATCATAATGTGAAAAATACTGGTCAGATGAATTGAACTGAGGAATCTGGGGTTGGCATGTATCATTATTGCACAACATATTGTCATGTGTTCAGTGACTAGACGCGGGGTTTGGATTGGTGAACAGATTTATTGGACTTTCAAAACTCGTAACTACAATTTATTACAGTGCTAGTGCTGATTCATGCATTCTACAATACACTACAGCACGGGCTAAACTTCTCAGTCTGCAGTGTCTTCATTAGTCACCTGGTAACAGCTCCCAATGCCATAGATTCCTCAGCTTCCATGTTCCATGGCTCGAGGTCTTGCTGGCTGGCACCTATCTCACAACTGACTTTTCATGGCTGGAATCCCTAGCCATTGACTTCTAGCAATATTTGGCCTCCACTGGCTATAGCTGGCTAGGACTCACTTCCACCTCACCCCCAGACTGCTAACTGCTCCCTGTGTGACTTTCATTAGTCAAAGTCATAGTTATATTATGACCAATGGTCAGTTGGTCAGTCTTTCTTGGTGTCAAGCCACATCTGGGGCTGAAGGACAGATTTTTGTTACTGTTATATAGTTGTGGGTTTGTTGATGTGGAGCGCACCTGTTGATGAGACGACAGGTATGTTGTTCACAATTGCTGATGTCCCTCACCAGCACATTCATTTTTGGGTTAGAGTCCCATGGGACTCATGACCGTATTTTACTCTCTCAGATTTGAGTCTCCCACAACTTGGAGGGCCAGGTCCCTGTATTTATATCCCCCAGGAACAGGGTGACCCTTTCTGTTACCTGCTTTGACACACAGAGCCATGGTGGATGTACGAGGGGCGTTCAAGTTCTAAGGTCTCTGATTTTTTCTCAGGACTGGGAGCAGAAAGACACATGCGGTTTAGTTTAAAATACATGTGCACTCTTTGTGAATGCGTGACAGAGATGGCAGCACTGTATGGCACATAGAACTCTAGTGGTGGCAGCAAGACTGAGGAGTGTTTTTGATACTTAAAATGGCGACGTTTCGTTACAAGAACAGCGAGCAATCATTCGTTTTCTCCATTTGCGTGGTGCGACACCCATCGAAATTCATCGCCAGTTGAGTGAGACATGTGGTGATGGTGTCATAAATGTGAAAAATGTGCGTTCGTGGCTGCGACAGTTTAAAGAAGGCTAAACGTTGTGTGACAACGAACCACAACAATCTCAGCCTCGCACCAGCCGGTCTGAAAACGTGGCCGAGCAAATTGAGGAAGTTGTTTTGGAGGATCACCGATTGAGTGCGGAAAACATTGCCTCCAAAGTTGGCATTTCCATGTGATCTGTGCACACAATCCTGCATGAAGACCTGCGAATGCGGAAAGTGCCCTCCAGGTGGGTGCCACGAATGCTGGCGGATGACCACAAGGCTGCGCGCATGGCAATTTGCCAGGCGATGTTGACATGTGATGAAGGCATGAATGGGACTTTCTTTTCATCAATTGTGACAATGGATGAGACATAGATGCCGTTTTTCAATCCTGAAACGAAGCGCCAGTCAGCTCAATGGAAGCACACAGACTCACTGCCACCAAAAAAATTCTGGTAAGTGCCAGTGATGAAAAAAATGATGGTGGCCATGTTTTGGGACAGCGATGGCGCAATCCTTACTCATTGCGTTCTAAAGGGCACTACGGTGACAGGTGCATCCTACCAAGATGTTCTGAAGAACAATCTCCTTCCAGCACTGCGAGAACAACAGCTGGAAAAGGCTGCACGTGTGCTCTTTCACCAGGACAATGCACCAGTGCATCGGGCGTATGCGACGCAGCAGTTTCTTCGTGAAAACAACCTTGAAGTGGTTTCTCACACTCCCTACTCACCTGACCTGGCTCCTAGCGATTTTTGGCTTTTCCCAACGATGAAAGACACTCTCCATGGTTGCACATTCACCAGTCCTGCCACTATTGCATCAGCAATTTTCCAGTGGTGAAAACAGACTCCTACAGAAGCGTTCACAGCAGCCATGGAATCATGGCGTCAACGTTGTGAAAAATGGCTGCAGGAAGATTACGTTGAAAAGTGACAGAAGTTTCAAATTTTTTGTATGATTATTGTGTGAGAAAAAAAATCGGAGACCTTAGAACTTGAACACACCACGTATTTGAACCCACCTCTTCACGCCGTTTCAATTTTCCAGGCATATCTTCTGCATGAAGCCAACAGAGAACACCGCTTCCCACAGATCTTCTGTTGTTGTGTGCATAACTGTTGCTACATTGACATGGTGTTTACTGTGCCGTAACCTAATAATGGACATCGCTTCTGATTAAACTATTCCAGCTTTAAGCAGACACGCCACAATATGTTTATTTCCATTCAACATGGGACTGTGAACAGTTTTCAGGAAGTTAAATCAGAATGCTGAACAGGATTCTAACATGAATTTCTTGTCCCTTAAAGTTAATGCTAAAATCAAGCTATTCTGTTGCTTGTTGTCTCTTGTCACCAACAGTCTTCTGACAAGCACTGTGACGCAAGAATGTAATTAGTAAATTCTGTACAGCCACTTTCCTCAGGGACTGGTAGATTATGTCCCCTCCACCAGAATATGGTGCTTTATTAATTTTTAATTTCTCATATATTGAATACAGAAAGTATTGTAATTGCAACATTGACACTATATAGTCTGAGTTACTGACAGTATCAATAAAATAATAATAAAATATAGTAGCAAAGAAAAGAAGAACAAAGTATATGAAATCTAGATTCTGGCAAAGTTCAATGTTTATGATTTGCAGAACATGTGCTTATCATACCTGCAATTGGGTATGAAAAAGTTGAGTGATGTCCACTCAAGATTTGATTTAGTGTGTATCTTAATACCCTGATTGCATCAGTCAGAGTTTAAGATATCCTAACTGACTGTAAGTAAGAGTTTGGAGTCGAGTCTTTTATGAGAAGCCAACAGTTGCCCAGACAGTGTGTATCTTTAATACCCTGAGAGCATCAGTCAGAGTTTAGGATATCCTAACTGACTATAAGTAAGAGTATGGAGTCGAGTGTTTTATGAGCAGCCATCAGTTGCCCAGATACTGAAAAGATTCTAAACATTTTATGGAACCTGAACATTCAGCACCATGTTCACAAGAGCCCACCACTGGTCCCTGTTCTGAACCAGATGAATCCAGTCCACACATTCCCACATTCTATTTCTATAACATCCTCCCATATACATCTAGGTCTTCCTAGTGGTCTTCTTCCTTCGTGCTTTCCTACCAAAACCTTGTAGGAGCTCATCTCCCATGCATACTACATGCCATGACCATCTCATTTTCCTTTACTTTATCACTGTAATAACATTTGGTGAGGAGTGTCAGTTGTGAAGCTTCTCATTATGTGCAGTTTTCTCCAGCCTATTATTATTTCATCTCTAGGTCCAGATATTCTTCTCAGTACACTGTAGTTAGTCACTCTCAGTCTCTATCCTTCCCTTAATATGAGGGACTAAATTACACATCCATACAAAACTACAGGCAATATTACAGTTCTGTATATGTTTTTGATAGAAGGAAGAAAAAAATTATAAATTGGATCACAAGCATTTCCTATATTTAATCTGATTTTAATTTCCTCATGAATCAAATTTTGATTTGTTAACATTGTTCCCAAATATTTTAACTCTGCCACATTTTCAAAGGGTCTTTGTTATGACTTTGTCCTGCATTCTGTTGACAAGAAATGAACATATACTTAGTTATTTCTGTATTTACTTTTAGACCAACCTCTTTACTGGCATCTATTAGAGCTTTATGTTCCTCTTTATGGTCTTTATGTTATCTCCCAATAAATGAACATCATAAAAACAGACCAGAAGCTGTCATGTCTTACTCAATTTCAGTCATACTGGTCATTCCTAATGGTTTATCCTTAAGCATAGCTGAAAAGAAATGTCAATTTCCTTGTTTCAGGCCACAATGAATAGGAAACATGTCAGACAAATGTCTACCTATATAAACTTGACTAGGGCTTTCATTCAAGATGATGTACAGTGTACTGCAAATTATTGTAAACATCATTAATATGTATTACTGAAACAAATGCAATGGGGAACACAAATTAATGCAGGAAGCCACAGTCATTATCTAATTGAATAGAAAATTTCTGCAGTTATTCTTAAAAGCAGAAAGTCAACATGCAGATAAGATATTGTTGTATGAGCATATGTACCTTTCTCAGAATATAATGAGGTTCCAGACCAGAAGACTGCAAAGCATGAGCATCTCCCTTTTTTGTGTCAACATAATTGTGTTTTGGTTGATGAGGAACAAGTCTTACTGCCTGTACTATATTCTGATGACAGTAATTATGCCTGTCTTTCCCTTTCCTTTTAGGGTTGCCTTGAGTTTGTTCCAAATCCTGTTTTGCTTCAGGCTTTATTTCTTCTTTAACTACTGGATATGAGCAACACTGGGAAGCATCTTCTGCTTGCTACAAAACAACGAATTAACAGTCTGAGGATACAGAACAGTAATTTTTTAAGTTTGTAACACTGAGAACTTTATACCACATGCCATTATTTGAAAAATAATTGTAAATAATTCGGTAAAGTGTTGGACTGGCTTACATTCAGGAGAGACCCTGCTCATACACCAGTTGGGGATTGGTTTTCGAACAAATATTGACAATGGTTTGCCTCAACTACTTTAGGAAAATTACATAACTGTGCCTTAAAATACACTAAGACTGCTTTCTTCCACCTTCCTCCTGATTCTGCCATTTATAATCCTACATACCATGTGAAAGTTACTATTAAAAACCAAACAGCTTGATAAAAAAATATGTTGATGAAAATTTGAAGGTATGTTATTAATCAGCACATAGGTTGGACATTTTCCGTCATCATATTCACACTTTTGGTTAAAGAATGCTATATCCAAATATGGTAGTGTTTTGTCATAAAGTTAAACTTACCTTATTGGTTACTAAACAAGTTGGCTTGGGTATTAATGCTTAAGACTTGCATTTTGGAAGAACCCAGTTTGATTCTGGGTCAGGACACTTGTCTGTTCTAACCCACAGTTTTGTGGTTTTCTCAGCCCCTTCCAGCAAATGCCAGGATACTACCTTCCACATCCTTCCCAATTCAGCACTCATTACTCATCATACCATTCAACATACAGGGTGTTTCACGACTTTAGGGCATAACTGCAGGAGGTGATTTCCTAGGTCTTTGTGATCAATAAAGTTCATATAAACATGTGTCCGATTTTGGACGGTTACGGAGTTATGACCATTTTAAACTCAGAATAGAAGGTAACGATTACCGACAATAAACAGAACAAAATAATAAACCAACATAATACATGATACATTTGAAGTATGAATGTAAAGTTAACTTCGTGAAATTACGAGTACCTTTAATTTGAATTGATTGGTACTTAAAGCTGATTTTCGAAAATGTCACCACTGGCCGCAACACAGGCTGCCGCTCGGTTGTGAACCGCGCCAGACATACCATACATAGGTAGCTCTCAAGTGTCGAGATAACGAGAATGCTCTGTCTGTAGCTGGCTAAAAAAGCGACCTGCCAGCTGACAGATACGGTTCATATGAGGGTGTGTACGGGAATGAAAAAACGGCCATAACTCCGTAACCGTCCAAAATCGGACACATGTTTATATGAACTTTTTTGATCACAAAGACCTAGGAAATCACCTCCTGTAGTTATGCCCTAAAGTCGTGAAACACCCTGTATAGTGTGAGCCCCTGTTAGTGTTATTAAGTATACTATAAAAACATATTTTGATAGGGTTCATTTTTCTAACCTGGCTCTCTGACATAAAAACGTAATCTGTTGTGTCCAATTGATCACATTGGAATTAACTCTAATTAATGAATGCAATAGATTAGATTTTATACTTTGAACTAATGTGCTTTTTAACCAGAAACAATGAGACAATAGAAAAATCCAACATATGTCAATTTAATCATGTTGAAGACTTAGTTTGAACTTCTGTCATAAGTAAAGTAAAGTAAAAAGTAAAGGTATCACTGTAACAGGCCGTGGAGGCCCATAAGGTTGTGAGATGTTGAGGTTCTCACATTTTCTAGACAATCGGTTCATAGATGGCAGCAAGGTTGTCAGCCTTAGGCGGTGACCACCCTTTACCCTCAAGAATATTCCTGGTACTAATTTCTCCTACAGGCTGAGTCGACACCAGGGCCATATTGCGGCTGGAAGGATTAGGTCAATTGAATAAAATCCAATGACCTCATTGGGACTTGAACTTGTGACCTTCCGGCTTGTAGCATAGTGCCTCAACCAACTATGCTACCCCATGTCCCCTTTCTGTCATAAGAGACATGCCAAAGTCAGATTTGTTTTATGTAGACATGTTGGATCACTAACATCAACAGGTCAGTGTTTTACATTCACATTAACAGGACTAATTTAAGTTTTAATTTCCCTTGTTGGCAGACATGCAACACATTCTGTAATACAGATCAAGAAGATCTTGCCATCTGCATAGCAATTAATATTTCCAGCAAGTTAAGAAACTGAAAGGCTTTTCAGATGAAAGGAAGTATTGACTTTCTTATATTGGTTCATTGCACAAGTGTCAGCTACTCTGTATTTTAACTTACCAATTATTACTTGAGCTCTTCATGATGTTAAATTTCATATGTTTACCCTTTGACAGCCAAGCCTACCAGAGAACTAACTTCTAGAAATGTCTAGGCTGCTTGAGGTGTTAATGCAGTTGCATCAAATAAGTCACGTAAATGACCTTAAAAAAAACTGGTATGTATCACGTGAAAAACCTATTCCTTTATATATCATTATGCCACACTTAATAGAACTGATGTACTAACTGATTGACTTTGAGCTGTGGTGACTTCAGTGCAAGTACCTTACTCCCAATCCAGCCTGTAAGTGGCGTGCAAAGGGTTAAATGCAAATCTGCAACATTACTGTCAGTTAACGTAACTAACTTTTATGGGTGTGTTCCTCTCACCTTATTTAGTGATATTCTATCTACTGCACAGATTATTCATGTGTAATGTGGATTAACAGGGTGTTTACAAATTGTGAGTTTGTATGGATGCAATGGTAAATGGCCATGCTAATTCTAAGGTACTGTTCCTGGATGAATGAAAAAAATTATAAAAGTAATCAACTGAAGTATAGTTCTGAATTATCAGGGATACCGAATGAGTATTGTTCTTTCAAAGTAAAGATTCACCAGACTGAATTAAAATAACAGTATTCTGCTTTGAACATCGCTGCACTGAATTGTCATAATTCTTTTTCAAACTAATCAGAAATTACAGTCTCTTTTGGCACTGATTAAACATCAGCTGTTATTGGAGTGTTTTAGAGTTCTACAAAGGTTCAGGTCGTGGTAACTAACATTTGAAAATACACATGTTGATACTGATACAGTTAAAATATGGAAATATGCCCAAAATATTGATATTGCAACGTGTTTGTCTAATGAAGACGCCATTCGGATTGTTAATTGGTCTTATTAACAACTTAAAAAGTCATAACAATAACTAATTATAACACTGTTGTGGGTTTACACAATTTACAAACCCTACACACTAATCTCTTCACTCTGTCTTCAGCAGTATTCACTTATTTACAGTATAACACGGGAGCTTTACAAGTGTCACTGAATTACACACTCCCAATATTTTCTAAGTTATTAGAAACTATCACTGATTATCACACATGCGTTCCGTTCTTCTTCTTCTCATGACTGACTGACTTCTGCTCCGCCGACTACTTCGAATACTAACTGACACTGTCTTCAGTGGATGCTACATTTCAACTGACTTCTTAGTCCAAGTCCAAGTCATATTGTGACTGATGGTCAGTCAGCCAGTATGTCTTGGTGTCAATACCTATCTCGGGCTCATGACCAGATATTTATTACTCTTTGACAGTTATGGTCTTGTTATTGTGGGGCACCTTCTCTGACGAGAGGATGGGCCTGTCTTCTGTATATGCTGCTGGCCCTTGTCAGCTCAGTACTTCTTGGGTGCGAGTCCCTTGGGACCCTCAACCATATATTACTATGTCAGATCTGAGACTTCAGTTTTTGTTGCCTCCTACGACTCGCAGGATCACGGTGGAGGTATTCTAGCCCACCTCCACGTGGAGATGAGTTCTTAGGCATTACAGTCTCTCTCATAAGCCCTCAGTCGGACAGTGGAAAACGCACCTCGCTTCACTGTTGCATAATCGCCGTGTTTACAGAGGCGTTGCTGGACAAAACTGTGTAGCAACTAGCGTACTTCGACACGGCTAGGCACGACATGAGGAATGCCACTTTCCTTACTGTTGCGTAACTTGGCAACCAACTGTTTATCAAGAGCCTGTCTTCGTGGTAACTCGTTCCACATCCCATTGCCCAGCAATGGTTTAACATGTCACACTGCTCCCTTCTTAAGGCTGTTTGTCCCAAATAGCCTAACAGTGCATCACTGGTCCTTTCTTTCCAAGGCAATGCTTACATCTTCTTTTTGTCTGGCTCGGCGTTTCTTTTCTTCCCGTTGTCCGTTCTCCAACCGCTACATCTGCCCCCTTCTTATGGTTGCTTGTCCCAAGCAGCTCCATGATAAGGCACGAGCCGGTCCAGGTGTACTGCCAACATTCTCGACCTAGGGTTCTTCTGGATTGTGTATATCATGACATTTTATCAGCGTGACTACCTTGTAAGGGCCTTCCCACGAGGATTGATGTTTTGGTGATTTCCCTTTTCTGCAGGTTGGGCAACAGAGCCAAACTCTGTTGTCCTCGTGCCAACCTGCGGAGTTGGCCAGTTTATTGTACCTAGTTTTCATCCGGTCACTGGCGAGCTTGAGGTGTTGTCGGGCATAATTGTGGCTGTTGTGTAGATGATCCATTAACTCTGTTGCATAATCAGTTGTGGGTAGTTCCTTGTCTGGGGATACCCCAAACAGCAGGTCACAGGGCAGGAGGCTAGCAGGGTTCAAGCCCGTAGTGTCGTGAGTGGATGCCCTGTAAGCGAGGAGAAAGAGGGGTAACCTCTCATCCCAGTCCCTCTGGTGGGATGTGACGACTTTCTGCAGGTGCTCCTCGATGGTCTTAATGTAGCGTTCCACCATGCCATCCAACTGTGGGTGCAGGGGCGTGGTGAGTGTCTTGCTCACTCCCAGGCATTGCAAAACTTCTTGTAGCAGATAAGACTCAAAATTATGGCCTTGGTCACTATGCATCTCTTGAGGTATGCTGAAGCGGCAGAAGAAGTTGGCAACCAGTACTTCCGCTATTGTCGATGCCTTCCGATTGGGAATGGCGTACACTTCCGGCCACTTGGTAAAGTAGTCCATAGTGATTAGTATGTATTGGTTTCCTTGGTTGCTTTGTGGGAAGGACCCTGCTATGTAACATTAGTTTTTTACAAGGTAGATGAATTCTGACTGGAGAGGTTTGTATGATTTCACTTTTCTGTATTTCA